ATCTTTCATCCCCCCCCTCATAAAAACACAAGTCCCCCTTTGATACCCCCCTTATATTTTCTCTAAGTTTGTATTCACACGTGTATAAGACCCTTATAATTATTTCCAATGCGCACTCTGAGGAACTTTGTACTTGTGATTTTTTTCACTTTTCTTTTTTTTTTTTTTTTTTTCGGAGACGGGCCCCGGGTGGGGAGCCACCCGGATTTTCCTTGTGGGTAGAATATGCTTGAACGAGTGATCTCTTCTTAGAACCCTGGGGCGTTCTAATATCACAGTGTTACTTTATACGTCCGAGGATGAGCTTTTAATTACGGAAACACTCATCCCACGGCTCTAAGGGGGAATCTTACCCTTGGAGCTGCCTTTGCCAGAGGCTGACGACTCGAGACTTTTACTCGGTAAACTCCCTTTCCACAGCGCGTGATGTTGCCATAGACTTTACAGTCCCACAGCCAGTTGTCATAATCGCAGAGGATACGACATGAGTACAATATGTGACTACATGTCTACCAATGCGTTTGCAATTCGTGTAGACTGATAGAAACTATCAATCGACTTCTGGTATAAACCAAAAGCTGATTTCAAGAATCGTGCTACGGGGACAAATCCATACAACGCCATACTTTCCGGCTGAATACCGGTTATGTTACCATACCCGTGTTGCCACAGAAACATGAACTGTTCAGAAGAGTTCAGTTTCCGTAGTATATCCTTCAGACTTCCCACGATAGGCCCAGAGGCGGAACAATATCCGCCCATCAAGTAGTTGGTTACTTTCATATCTCTCTGATTGATTTCACCTGCGTTTTTGACCTCTTTGCATTTGCGAAGGTTCCTTAATATCTCACTGAGATGTGCTTCACGTTGTTCCTTGAGCCCTTTGCAACGTATGAAGATGTGAGAAAGTTCATCTTCTTCCTCCATAGCTTCCCCTCTTCGTCTACTTTTTTGACATAGAGGACATGTGGTTGGACCTAGCATCAAAGCTTCAGTTTTTAGAGTGTTTGCTTTCTTGTGATTCTCGTACTGAGTTTTTGCAAGGGGAAGAATTCCTAATCTTGCTTTCACTAATAGTAGCACACCATCTTTGAGGTATGGGTACCGTAGAGCGGCTTTTTGAAAGTTTCGA